TGGGAGGGGAGATGGAGGGGAAAAGGGAGCTGAAGATGAACGGGGGTGCACCACAGTGTAGCCTTCCTCTGCTTGGAATGCTGAGCCGGGTGGCCCTGAGGAAAGGAAGCCCCCTGGGCAGACAGCTGACCACCCTCTAACTTCCGAGACATCAAAACGAGTGTGGGGTTCAGGGGCCTGTAAGTTCCTTCCAGTTGCAAAATGCTGACTCCAGACCCAGGATGCCCCGACAGATCTTGCCAGCAGGGCGGCCTTGGGGGACACCAGCCAGCCTGTCCCCAGACACCTGCCCTGGGCCCCAGCGGGGTAGGTTCTTCCTGCGACTCCCGTGCTCCGAAGTCCTTTTGTCCTCGCCTCCCTGCCCCAATTACTTACAGCTCCAGATAGGGTGTGGGATTTTTTTCCTCTCTTTTACACAGAGGATTTTTGTTTGTTTGTTCAGAAAACTATGCAAAAATGAACGCTTGTGGATTCCGGGTGGTGAGGGCTCAGAACAAGCAGCTCATCTTACTTCCATGTCGTCCCTCTGTCTCCTGGCTTGGAGCCCGGCTCCTTCTCTTGGAGGCTTATAGGGCGGAGTTTAGACAGGAACTGAGACCACCCAGTCCGCTTGTGATCAGGGTTGGGCTAAGTGTTTGCTGTGTGAATGAATGACTGTATCTGTTCCTGAATGCCCCCACTACTCCCAGAACAGTCCGAAGCCTCATTTCCATCTGATGGCCTGGAAGCTGGCTGTGTTACGTCCCCCTGACCCCTCTAGCTGGCCTGGTGGGCAGGAGGCCTCAGAGTGGGTGCACAAGATGGGCCATGGGGTGGAGGAAGGAGATATGAAATCTTTAGTCTTACGTAGTAAAATATCTGTTACAATTATTAGTACAAATATTTATTAACCTATATTTATTTTATCCTCATCCCTTTTTTTCCTGCCTGTTTTATACAGTAATATATTAGTCCACATATGTTATTTATAATAAATATATTCACACACACTCATGCTCGGGGAGCAGCACTCAGTTTTTTTTTTAAAAGACTAGCACCTGAGCTAACATCTGTTGCCAATCTTCTCTTTTTCTTTTTTTTTTTCTTCTCCCCAAATTCCCCCTAGTACATGGTTGTATATTCTAGTTGTAGGTCTTTCTGGCTCTATGTGGCATGCCGCCTCAGCATGGTTTGATGACAGTGCTAGATCCACGCCAGGATTCAAACTGGCGAAACCCTGGGCCGCCGAAGTGGAAGGCGCAGACTTACCCACTCGGCCATGGGGACAGCCTCTCACAATTTTTTATTGATGACTGCTAGAAGAACCAGGCTTGTTACATCCTGCTTTCCTTTAATGGGTGGGGAAATTCTCTAGCAAAGGTCTGGGAACTGCTGGGAATTCATTCATTCTGAAGTTACTTTTGAAGACAGTAGATGAAGCAGAGATTGAAAATGAACCAGGTTGGGGTTTATTTTTCTCCCTGGAAAGACATGAGCAAGCGCATAAAGCAGAGAGGGTTGGCCCAGATGTTTTTGTAACTAAAGATGTACCTTTCGTTTTAGGTTAGCTCTTCCTAGAGTTCAAAGATGTTTGAAAGTGGACCAAGTGCAGTTCTGTTTTTGGCCCCAGATGTCGTCTGCAGGACACTGTGGGCTGCCGACAGGTTCCCCAGATGTTAGCACCAAGGAGATGCTAGCGTCTGAGCATGTGACTTTTTGAAACAACTGCAGCCTGTCGGCCTGCAGCAGGCCCTCTGGCTGTGAATGAAAGAGGGCAGCTGAGAAACAGGACCGCCTCCCAGCTGTTGAGAGTTCTCCTGTTTGACGACAGGGTGACACTTGGGCTACAGTAGCGTAAGCAACAGGAGATCCCACACACGCTCCTCTGTTTTAAAAAAAGCGAGAACCCTCAAGAGCGCAAGGGAACAGTGGATGAAATAAGGAAAGAGCTCGTGTCATTTTGCTTATTTATTTACCAAATATTTCTTTAATGCTTACCATAGGCCAGGCACTGTTCTAAGTACTTTTAAAAACAGGATCTCAATTACTCTTCACAATAACCTTAAGAGGGGGCAGTATTATTAGCCCATTTCACGGATGAGGAGTCTTAGAGCTCAGAGGATGACATCATTTGCCTGTGGTCACACAGCTTGTCAGTAGCAGCCCAAGGCTCCCACAGGCGCCCAGCTTGGTCCCCGCAGCCTTCCGGTCCGCACAGGCGCTTGGCTCCGCCTGCACTGAGAAGTCCAAAGCAAACCCTGCGCCTCTCCATATGGAGGCCCTCTTGTATTTTTTTTAGTAGAGAGTCCCAAACCTTTCAGAATTATCTTATCTTTTGTTTGGTTTCACAACAGGCTTTTCTAAAAATAATATTACTTTTGTAATATGTATATGTAATATTACAAAAATGACATCACTTACACTGTTTTCCATGTTTTGAGCACTTACTATGTCAGGTCCTCCTGTGCCAGGTGTTCTCTAGACATCACTTCTAATCCTTACACTGCAAGGAAGAGATTTGTACCCATTTCACAGAAGAGAAAGTAGAGGCTCAGTAGCTTGTCCACTTAGCAGACGTGCCCAGCCAAGACATGAACCTTGGTCTGTGCACTGCTTTTCTTTGTTATAGGACAGAATTAAGTATAACCAGGTCCTTCTTGGTCCCCATCCAAGGGAGGTGGTTAGTTTCACAAAGCACCCACAGAACCTTGTGGTGTGTGGATGACTAGGGCGTGTGTGTGGCCCAATTAGCCAGGGCCAGTGCCGATTTACGCCTGTCGTCCCAGTACTGGCTTTTACCCTCAAAGGCATCCTGACTTGGACGATAAATTGTGTGGTCCCTCTACCTGCCCCCTTGGGGTTGGATGTCGCGTGGTTTCAAGCGGCTGCGTCCACAGCATCAAGCCCTTTGATCCGGTGGAGTTTTGTAGTTTTGTCCTCTGCTGAGCTTCATTAAGCCCTCGGCGGGTCTGAGGTTCCCCCAGTTGTAAATGTCGCGTGGTTCCTGGTATTCCGGTTCACACATTAGCCCAATTAGATGGGTAAATTAGTCATCCTAACTTTCTAAAGTCCTGCTGGAGGAGCTTTACGAAATAGCATTTATAGTTTTCTAACAAGCATTTTAAAGGACACCAGCATGTGGCATTTGTTTAAGAGTAAAATGTCCCAAACAATGCCCTACTTAAAAACAGATTTTGAGATTTGCTCACGGACAGACACAGACGTGTGGTGGGATAGCACCCCTGTGTTGTCTCGTATGAGCATCTCCACACTGGGTCTCTTATTTCTAGGAGCTACAGCCAAGTACAGGGGGGCTTACTAAAACCCACAGTTAATTCCAAAGCCTCGAATTTGCCAAATTGCTTTTTCTGCACCCCCTGAGAGTTTCTAAAGAGGCTTCAAAACACACTGCTCTGAATTCCCTCTGAGTGGTAGATGGTGAAGAACCCGCAACTCAAAGGAGGCTGCGAGACCCCTCAGAGAGCTGCTGGTGTCGGGGTCGGGAAGCATTGTGGAGCAAAGTGAGGTCTCGATGGCTACTGGAGAACGCAAGGCTCTCGAACCTCACTGGGCTGTTTCCTCCTGTTTATGAAACTCCTCTCCACCTCACGGGGTCACAGGAGGATTAAATGAGATAATGCACCTAATGGGCCTGAAACATAAGAGGCACTCAATCAACTTGAGGTCCCTTCCTTCCTTCCTGGACCCTTTTAACTGTTAGCCTCACATGCTGGCGTCCTTGTTCCTGGCTCAACTGGTTCTTCAAACAATCTTATTAATGCCTATTAAAATGAAACCCAATAAAAGTGCCAATATTTGGTGTTGAAATAATTGATGTGGCAGAGTGAGCCGTGGAGCACCCAGGCAGGCCCCTGGTGCAATTTAGCCTCACACCTGGGGGATGAATTTCACAACTGTAATTGCTACCATATAATTCTTATTAATGTTGTGCTATAATTCCTATTTATTCCACGGGGCTTGTAAATGCATTAGGACTTGTCAACATATTATTTTACACTGTTTATGATCTGTAGAATTATGTCCTTCAGGGTTGTATTGTGCAAAAGCTCAAAATAAATGGCTTTGGGCCTCATTAAAAAAGGGGCTGCTTGTTGAAGTGGTCCTCCATCCCTGCCCGCCGGCCTGAGAGAAGTCAGTGAAGTAGATTTTTAATTCAATTCCAAGCAGAGCTCTTAACCTCCAGAAGACAAGGGAATCCCTGCCTCCTGTCTGACTGATGAGTCAGCCCTCCCTCCCCAGGGATGGCGGTGGTAGGGGGGTGCAGGGGGCAGGTGCCATTCCCTGGGGACAGGTTTGGTGGGAATTGTTTGGTCTTCCACATGCCGGACCTGCATCCTGATGCTGACAGTTTGCCCTCAGAGTTCTAGGCATTTCTTTCCCCCCTCCCCATCTTGAGGTAACTCCCTTTTAGTTCCAAATTTCCTCATGGTCTTCCTAGCTTAACCTATAAAGAAACAGAGCTGAAATTAATTCCACTAAAGTGTAAATACCTAATAAGTGTAAAATGGAACCCCCTCCCACAGATTTTTGCATTTACTAGATCAGTAAACCATAAAACTAAAGGGACAGAATTCTGTTCATTGGAATGTCAGGTGTAGCTTTGTGTGTTTGTGTGTGTGTGTGTGTGTGTGTGTGTGTGTATGTTGGGAGGGGGTGTCTCGTCATTGGTTATTTTTGGTTTTGGAGCCTTCCGAGCACCATTGCAATCAAACTGGCCTGCCTCAGAATCGAGTTCAAGTTCTTGCTCAGCTAATTCCTAGCCATGAATTGTTGGGAAGCCCTTCACCTGGTCTCACAGGTGAGAATGCGTACATTTTCCTCCCACGGCTGTCCTAGGGACGATGTGCCTTTGCAATTCCTTTGTGCCTGGAATGCCCTCTTAGGGCAGGAGGGGCTGCCCCGTCCCATCACTGCCATTCCTCTCATCCTGGGGGTGGCCAGAGGGAAGCTGTGGGGAGGTGACTGCTCCTGACCCTCCTTGCACTTCTCTGGCCCCACAGGCAGCGAGTACGACGAGGAGGAGGTGGACTACGAGGAGTCGGACAGCGATGAGTCCTGGACCACAGAGAGCGCCATCAGCTCTGAAGCCATCCTCAGCTCCATGTGCATGAATGGAGGGGAAGAGAAGCCTTTTGCCTGCCCGGTTCCTGGATGTAAAAAGAGATACAAGGTAAAAGAAGTACCACCTCACTTGATGGAACTGCCTGGAAAAGGGCAAGTCCCACGTCAGAGAGCAGCCCCTTTTACTTCTGAAGAGAGTGTCCAGATACTTCCCTCTCCAGTGCCAACTGGGCACATGTGGTCCTCGCTGAGACCCCCTGCCTGGGCACAGGCTGCCCTCCAGTCAATGCTGGCCCCTGGTTTCTGTGTGTTTGGTGGGGTTTTCTCCTTCGCTGACCGGCGTGGGAGCTGTAGGTCAAAAGAGATTTTTCGTAGGAAGACCATGTCTTTGATATTCTTCAAATTCATGTCATATCAGGGGCCTATCAGAATATCAAATGTGTCACCTATTTGCCAAACACCTTCCCTGGTGGATGGCTCCCCAGGTGGCTCACAGAAGACCACTTAGAAGTCCTAAAAGCCAGCAGATGGCTCACAGAGCCCTTTAGGAACATGTTGTAGGACATTTAGCTTCCAGCTGAGGGAGTTCTTGCTCCCTTCCCCACCCTGGCATGGAGGGAGATCGGGGGCAAAAGGGGCTTTGATATTTTTCTCACCAAACCACTCGCGTCAGCTTCAGTGTCCTCTCTGTAGATGGCACAGAACCCGTGTCTCTGAGGGCCTGGCTCTGGGTGTCATGGGCAGCTGGGGGCACTAAATTTTCCATTAAGAAAACTCAAAGGGACAAAGCAGTGAGAAACACCCACAACATTCAAGTGTGGGTCCTGAGGGCACTTTAAAAAATTTGCAAACTTTTCCAGGAGGTGTTAGCAGCCCTTTAAAATCCAACTGTGAGACAGAAATATAAAAATCAGAAACATACCTCGTACATTTGATGATATGCCTATTTACCCATAGCTCAGCAGATTGACTATTTTTTTAAAAGGCTTGAAGAAGTGTGATAGCATTAAGCACCTCTTATATTACTCCTTCTTAAATATGTGTCTCTGAACATTATAAAAAATCTTTTTCTGGGGGCCAGCCCAGTGGCGCAGTGGTTAAGTTCACACACACTGCTTCGGCGGCCCGGGGTTTGCAGGTTCGGATCCCAGGTGCAGACCTATCACCGCTCATCCAGCCATGCTGTGGCAGTGTCCCACATTCAGAACAGAGGAAGATTGGCACAGATGTTAGCTCAGCAACAATCTTCCTCAAGCAAAAAGAGGAAGATTAGCAACAGATGTTAGCTCAGGGCCAATCTTCCTCACACATACACACACAAATCTATTTCTGTACTTTTTATGCCTGCTACTGATATAAAAGAATGGAACACAAATGTATCACAACTTTAGGTCGGTGGCCTAAAGTTTTACCTACTCTATATACTGTTAAAATTTTACCATAAAGTCCAGGTGCCCTTTGTCTAAACTAAAATGAAAGCTCCAGCATGGAGATGTGAGAGTCCCGTCAGGGTGCCCGGAAGAGCTGTGTGGTCAGAACATGCCTCAGGATGCACACGTACATTTCTATGTGTCAGAGCTGGGGACGTGGGAGAGGAGGAAAAGCTACTAAGTTGTCACCTCCAGATGCCAGACACCCAGGGGCTGCTGAGACAAGCTCCTTTTTCCAGAGGGCTGCTCTGCACTACAGAAAGGGATTGTCCTTTTTATTTCAAAGTAGAGAACGCTAGACAGAGATGGCTGTCATCGCAGCCTGCCTGCCCTCGGATGCAGGTCTCCCCACGCCTCACTGCGCCGGCCCCCAGGCTCTGCCACAGCACTGCCTTCCCTCGAGTGTTGGATGCTGTTTAAGGGGTGCCTTGCACATCAGCTGTTTTAAAAGAGGGAGCAAAGTAATGACCCGGACTGAGGATGACCAAAAAAGGCAGTATGGGCTTCCGAACCCTTTATTCTGGCTAAAGAGATGAGGCATTCTCTCTTTCCCACCTCTAGCTTCATTCCTGTTTGCCGTCCTTTTCCCCTAGTCATTTCTATGTGCTAGTTCTTGTTTTATGCTCTTGCACTTATTTTTCTTGGGTTTCCAGCAGTTTCCTCCTGCAGTTTGTCTGGTTTGATGGGGCTTGTTGGAGTGTTCTTTCTCCATCTAAGGCCAAGAGAAAACTGAGTGCACTTTGGGCTGCAGCGGCTGCCTGCTTCAGAGCCACTGACTGACAGATGACATGGGTGGCCATCAGTGGTCTTGATTTCCACGAGGAAGTCAGAGTTTCCTTTTCTGGGCTAGAATGCCAAGGAATGGGACATGGGACAGGAACAAGCATGTAACTACTTCTAACCAAGTGCTTGAGATGAGCGTGGTCATGTTCCCTAACGCTTCAGCATGACTCTTTCTGCTGGGAAGTAACTGGCCCCAGAGCAGTGGTGTCTCTAGTATAATTATGATGTCATCTTATTCACCGCATGATTGCTGGATTGGGTATTGGTGAGGGGAGAGTGTAATGAGCTGGTGTGCAGCAGAGTCAGGCAGAATCCAGAAGTGCTACCATCTTGTTTATTCCCAGGGCTAACTTCACACTCATCTCATTCCCTGCCCCTGTTGGCAGGGGGTCTCTAGGACACTGACTCAGGATCAGCTCTTCTCACCATTTCATCAGCATTTGTAGAACGGAGAGAGGAGTATCTAACTTCCCAGACTTCATGCTGAGTAGCATAAGGTAGAAGGGCCCAGCAGGACAGCTGTCTCCGTGTTGTTTCCCATGTTAATTCCTTTGCCTAAGATGCCCCCCTTCCCCTCCTCTCTCCATCAGTACCTCTCATTCTACTTCACCTCATGTCTCAAGGCACCACTCAAATGCCACCTCCTCTAGGAAGCCATTACCAGTTTCCCAGCCTGACTCCCCACTCATACACTGAAGTTCTGTCCTCTGACCTTTGCACATGCTCTGTTCATACTGCTGGCAGAGCACTTACTACCTGATCACCCCAAGGGTGCTTACAGCTCATAGACCCCTTCCCAGCACCCAGCACAGGTCTTGGACATAGTAGATCCTCAGAGAATAAAGGGATAGAGGCAAAATGCCTGGGGAAGAGGGCAGTGTGGGCTCCCCGCTGACCATTGGAACCCCAAAGCAGCAGCATGATTCATTCTTTTGGATTCTTTTCAGACACATTCCAAGTCGGGAACAACTGATCTTGTCCGCCTTGATGCTGCTCACACTTTTCTTCTGACTTTAGGCAAAAGAGAGAGGACACCCCCTCCCCAACTCTATAATTGGGAATAGGTTTAAAAGATGGGTTCAAGCGCTTTGAGGTTCTTTCTTTTGATGATTTTTATATTAGAGTGGCTAGGATTAAAGGCATTTGCTACTTTTCCTTTAAGAAATAGAAAACAGAACAAGCCCCCCCCCCTGCAACCCCCCTCCCCCCCCACCGTGCCCCCGAAGTTTCTCTGAAAGAGTCCTCTGCTGCTTCAAAATCATTGTTTCAGCAACATAAAGAAAGCCTGGCTCCTGACGTCTAGATACACAGTCAAGCAGATGTGTAGCTTGGGGTTTTCCCAAGAAAAGCCCTTCAAGTCTTTCTCCTCCTCAGTGGATCTAAATCTCCTGGTGTCTCTTAAGGGTTCCATCAGAAGCCCTGGTGGGAGCATAAGTGACAGCCTTTCTGGATAGCAGCCTGGCAGTAAATAATTGGAACTTTAAAAAAGGTTCATATTCTTTAGCTCCATAATTCTCCTAGGAGTTTATCCTAAGCACGTCATCAGGGATGCAAAGATTGATGTACAAGGATGTTCATCACATTTACTTAAAGTCACTAAATTACTAAAATTCTAAATTTTACTAAATTACTAAAATTTAAATTACTAAATTTCTAACAGTAGGGGAATGGAAGAGAATCTGTCATTAAAATCCTATTTTCAAAAAATATTGAATGATGAGGGAATTCAATCTCATATGATCTCTCTCGCTTAGTGAAAAGAAATACCTCAGATGTTAAACAGTGATTATATCTGTTCTTTCTTTTTTATGCTCTTCAGTATTTTCTAAATTTCTGCAATCACCTACACTGGACACAGATTACTTTAATAATCACAGGAGAAAAAGACCTAATTGCCGCCTGAGTGGCCCGGGACATTCTGAGTGCTGCCATGTCGAGTCCAGTGGGGGAGTGACTTACATTTCAGCTGTGTGAGGCTGGTGGAGTGTCGCCACACAGCTGCAAGTGGCTTCACTTTTAACTCTAACATTACCACCACCACCACCACCACCACCCCCTCCAGCTTCTGTTTTTTCATTTTTTTTCCTCATCAAATCCCCGAGCAACTTCATCCTCTCCTTTATGTGGAATATCAAGGCCCACCAGAAATTGAAAGTTTTTTTTTTTCTTAAGGTCACATACATATTGTACTTATTCAGGCCTGAGTACCGACAACAAATTATCAAATACAGTCAAGGGAATGATGGCCCAGCTTGGTGTCCAGACTTTAGGTTTCACGATTTGATTTGGAGTGGGAATTTTGAGAAGAGCCTCTAAATTGTTTGTTGTCCACTGACTGGCTCGGTTCCTTCGTCGGGGCACGTAGTTCCTGATGGTAGAACCTAGCGTGGAAATGAACCCATGCCAGCCTTACCCAGCCCACCGCCGCCTCAGGTCCTCCTTTGTAACTCCTGACCCGCCCCTTGTTTCACATGCTGGCTGTGTGTCAGAAGACCATTGTAATTCACAGACAGTTTTCTCCAGATTGAGTGTCCCAATCCTTTCCAACTTTTAAGATTTTTCAAAGACAGCCAGCTGGTTGTGCTAATTAATGAGTACCTCACACTTTAGGTGCATGACATTCTGAGGGAAAATATGGACTCTGGAATCAGGCATCCTTGGGTTCCTGTTTCAGTTCTATCATTTACCAGCTTCATGATTCCAGCAAGTCACTCACCTTCTCTGAGTGTCAGTTTCATCTAAAACATGAGTATTGAATAAAACAGTAGACATCAAGTACAGTGGTCCCCTGAAGATACCAAAATCCAGGGATGCTCAAGTCCCTTATATGAAATGGCGCAGTACAATGAATACAGTCGGCCATCTGCCTCCGTGGGTTTCGCATCCATGGAATTTTGACCCGCAGTTAGTTGAATCTGTAGGTGTGAAACCTGCAGATATAGAGGGCCAACTGTATATACTCAGCATGAGGAGTGACCTTCCTTGCCTTATTGAGCTTAATTCCCTTTCTTCAGAGACCAGAGGATTTAAGCATTTTATTTTCAAGTTGCCTGCCATTAGTTATTTTTGTTATTAATATTTTTGAGAGACCAAACTCATTTCAGGCTCTCTGCAATTAGAAACGTCAGTGAAATCTGTTTAAGCTCCTCAAGTCTTAGAAAGTGGAAGTTCCCATTGCTATATGCGAATGAACAGATGTGGGAAATCTTGAGTCCACTTAGAGCTTGGACTGACATTTGTGATAAGGGTGTTCCATGGACACTTGGGAACATTAAATCACAGCAGCAAAAAGAATGTGACACGAAGGTAGGATTTTTTAGGTTCTTCAGCAACGTTAAAAATGCCACGTTTCCAAATGTGCAATTGGCTTCCTGATTTTTCAGAGTAATAAAGCTATCATACGGAGTTGGCTGTTTTCTCTTCACAGTCTCACAGCCAGACACACAACACATTGAAGCTGGGAACAGACCACAGAACCTGCTGGAATCACCTCAATCCTGGGCTTGTCCTTCTCCTGGTGAACTCCAGATCTGGTTTCATGTTGGACTGGATTCTTATGGCTTTACCAATTTTCTGGTTTCAAACCTTCTCTCACCTAATTAGTTATAAAAACTAAGGCCAGGATGGAGTATCTAAGCCCTGATCCTGTTGGAGTTGCTATGCCTTTTTGCTTGTTAGTCAAGTGTTTTTCTAATTTCCGTTTCCTCTGTTTTCTGACAAGGTGTGAGCAGTACCTGGGACACAGGGGTAGCTGGATTTTTAATGATCCATCTTGCAACAAGTTCCCTGTGAAAACAAGGACGTGAAATGTTTTAGTAATCCTTTGCCCACACAAAGGGACCCTACTAGGTGCTCACTGAATATCTGTGGAGCTAATAAACGGGATATTATTAAGCAGGCAGATGGAAATTTCTAGCATATGTGAGCCAGACTTCCTATCATATTGCTACTATCACTTAGAAAGTTGACAGTCTTTTTCTAATGGTCGTAAAACTCTTATTAACTTTCTCTCTCTTTCAAGTAGCTTAAAACAATTTATTATGCTTCCGTGGTTCTGTGGGTTGCCTGGCTCCAGCTGGGTGGTTCTCACCTGGGTCTCTCATTTGGTTGCACCAAGACGCCAGCTGGGGTTAGATATACAAGTTGGTTTCTTTACTTCCTTGCCTGGGCCTCTGGTGGGGGGGCTGGAACAGCAGGGACCTGGCAAGGCACATCTACCCATCTAACCATCTCAGTGAATCCGATTCTGCCAGTCACTGCTCTCCCCATATCCCACCACAGCAATTTTATTCCCCAACACACCTCCACAAGACCAGTGAGGTGCTTCCTCACCCTGCATGCGGGGATTGATGCAGGAAGGACATGGGCTGAAAGTGTAGAAGGCTGAGAGCCAGGTGGTCAGGGCAGAGGGTGTTTGTCCTTGTGCTTCGACTCACTGGACAACTTTCAGACTCCAAGCATCGCCAACTGGTTGCTATTTGGCACCTCTGGGTTGAACAGGCAAGCGAGATTCTCTACCATGGGATTTTTAAGAAGTATTAATGTGCGCTGTGAATTTCTAAAAAGGAAATGTAAATAGTAATAACCACTGAACCCATTTTAATGGCAAGTCTCTCAACTTCTTCCAGAAAGGGAGGTGTGTTCCAACAAATTCATTCACTCACCAATACTTACTGAGCTTCTACTACATGCCAGGCACTGTGCTCAGTGCTCACAAACAGCAGCAGGTCCCGTTCTCTCGAGGCTCAGTAAGAGCATCTTAGGAAAGAGCAGACGACGACTGTGTTGGAATCCTTTAGCTGGGCATAGGACTAGGCTCAGTGGGACTAGATTCAGGTAATACTTTAGGCAACAGCCCACTCTTCTGGTGATCTATACTCAACAACTTTATGTCTCAAGTGCTTTCTTCTCTTTTCCTTTACTCTCTAATCTGGCAATAGCTGACTTGGAAATGAAGACCTATGCTCTGATACCACCTCTGCCATTTATCTTACTTAAATATTCCATTAGTTACTCACTCCCCTGAGCTTGCTTCCTCACCATTTAATTGGGATGAGCAAAGTAACTGTTTAATTTGTTAAATCTGTAAGAGTGATCTAGGCATAGAGTCTTACAGTGAATATCCTAGTGAGCTAGCAAAACCAATTAATGGAAATCCAGAAAGCATTTTGATACTTTACGTATCTTTTAGGATTTGTAGGCCAGTTGGAACTCTTCTCTTGCTGAGACTTCCATAACCTTACATTTTTAAAGTTCACTGTATATTTGGAACACAGTACATAAATAAAAGTAGGGCCTAGTCTGCCTGTAGATGCTTATTTAACACACACAACTATGCTGGGGCAGGATTTGGGAAAGTAGCTCCCACGGGGGCAGGGACACTGGCTTAATGCAGAGTAGAAAATGGACAAAAACTTCTAGCTAAAGTAGGGAATTATCACCAGTTGTCTGGAAGCAAAACATAAGCTGAGTTTCCAAATCAAGAATTCATACACGTCTTGACCTCTATTGCCCTAATGTGTTTTCTTACTTGAGAAAGCTTTTTTTTGGCCATCCTGAGGGTATTTTTATGTAATGTTCATTACCACTCTTCAGAGTAGAAAAAAGATTGAGAGAAGCAGCGAAGTTGCAGGCAGAGGGAACTGTGATTCTTTACGCAGCCTCAGTCTTCAATACATGTCTTATGTAGAACTTGAAGAAGTCAGTACTATCATTTTCAGAGTAGATAAGGCGTATTTGAAATTGCCTTGAGTCAGCTGTGTGCATGACCCAGTGTGCACAGCCTGTGATCAACACACCAGACTGCTTGAGGGTCACAACTAGAGTTCACGCAAAGGCTACTCTCTACATAGCTGCTATGCAGATGTCCAGTGCAATCCAAACCCACGCTGAGGTTTTCCTGGGTCTGACAGACATGACGTGACTCCCTCTAACAGGTGATATTTTTGTCTTCTCCACAGAATGTGAATGGCATAAAGTACCATGCTAAGAATGGTCACAGAACACAGATTCGTGTCCGCAAACCATTCAAATGTCGTTGTGGTAAGAGTTACAAGACAGCTCAGGGCCTGCGGCACCACACAATCAATTTCCATCCCCCGGTGTCGGCTGAGATTATCAGGAAGATGCAGCAATAACACGCTGGTCATAACTGTGCCAAGAAATCCTCACCAGCAGTTGCTGATTTTGAAAACAGCCACCTTTTTTCAGGGGGAGCATTCAGCAACCCTTTAAAGAATTAAATGCATGCTTTAAATTTTTTCTGTAATTTTGGAATGATGTAACTTTGTAGAGTTAATGATTTTGTACATTTGCACATGTAATCATCATACCCATTTTCATTACTTTGATATAAGGTGCTAAACAAAAAAAAGCTCTAGGTTCTTCAGCACATTTCCCCAAAAACAAAATAAAATTGAGGGCATGTTGCATATTGTTTAGTTGTATTGCAGTGATATCAACTGGGGGGGTGGAGGGGCTGGCACTGAGATTTTTTTTCCCCAAGATTGTAATGTGATTGAAGTTTTTCAACACATCAACTCACTACATTCAAAACCAAAATAATACCTTCATCATCCAACTGGTTACCATGCCTTACATAATGGAGTTAGTATTTGTGAGTAGAAAGACTTTAGGTAATGGAAATATAAATAAGAAAGAATGTTTAACATAATATGCTAAAAATATTTTCATATTTAAATAACATACATAAAAGTTGTGCTTTCTGTGTTTTATATTATCTTGCAAATCCTTCTGCCCTTTAAAAAGCTGAAAATCTTGCCATCTGACTCACCAATCACTTTAGTGTTATAAATGGCATTTTTGTACAAAACAGTCTATTCAGTTCACTCATTAACACAAATTTATCGAGTGCCTGCTGGGTGCAAGGGATTCAATTTATGCCTATTGATATCTGCGGACCAAGATACCAGTTTAGTGAAGTACTTTTCCCTGAAATCTGTTAGGAAACACTTTGAAATACTTAAGTGCAAATTTTGTGTGTGTGAAATTTAGTTCTATCTTCATCTTCAGGTGAAGTTTTAAAGCACTTTGTAGTTCTCTATTGCCAACAGACTTAATGTTTTATGTGTTGCCAATTCTTGCAACCACTGTCCTAGTAAAGCTGCGAGTTGCAAACAAGAATTAAAATTCCAAGCACGTTTCAAAGAGGAACATTTTTGTTAAGACCCCTGTTGCCTCTTCTTCATGCTCATTGTGTTTTTAGACTTTTTTTACAGGCACTTTTTCCATCACATTGTAGATGTCTGTTCCCATTGGAAATGTCTGTTTAGCTTTATAAAACATTTTGCTGAAATATGAAATTGCGCCTTATTGGAATTAAGTGCTTCTTGCAGCAGGTGGTCAAAGAATGACTAATACATGACCCGTTAGAGTAACCCACGTCTGGACCATTCCCGAGGTTTTTCTCACCAACAATACCATCATGCCTTGAGTGTTCTTTTCTCCCAAGTGCTATTCCTTACACAAGAGAGTTTACCAATTGCCTAATTATGCAATGAAAATTGCTTTAAGATGGCTAACTGCCCACAAAACCAGTGAAAAGCAAATTGCTTATAAAATAACTTTCTTCCCATGTTCCCATTTGAAGAAAGTCTTACAGTTGGGAAGCAGGTGTCCCTCCCTCAATTTTTCAGACATTTTGCAAGGATGACAATTTGGTTAGTCAGATGGGTGAGCTTCTATATTCTTAAGTTGTTAATCCCTCATAATGAGGAATTTTAAAGTATTTATAAAGACACTGCCCTCTAAAAATTTCCTCAGATTCTGAAGAGTGGTCTTGGTCCTGAATAAACAGTGTTATCCTGTATGTTTAAAAGGGTGATCCACACACGAGAAGCAACTAGTTGGTGCATAAGAAGGCCCTACTTGGCTATTTCATACCTACCTACAACTGACCAAAATTTTTTAGGCCAGCAATTATTATTCAGCTTCGCTCCTTCTAGTGCAAGAAACTATAGGCTGGGTCAGTAGTTCAATAGCTAAACAGTCATAAAAGAGTCACTGTGCATGTTAAACTTCTTTCAACTATAAAACAAATTCCAATTTCTATTTACTTATTCATTGTGACAGTATTACTAAACAGGTAAGGATGGGAATATTTTGTTATACCGTGTATAGTGAATGTATTGTACTGTGTCTGTGAAAACTGTGCTTTAAATTATATTTTCATATGTTTTGTTGGGGACAGAGCACATTAAGTTTGAAAGCAACAGAGGTTTGTTTTAGAACTGAAGGCAACTTAATGAATCAAAATTCCTGTCAAGAAAAGCTGCTTATAAATGTAAATGAAATCACATTTAAAATAAACTGCCTCTGACCCAAAATAAACATGGCTCTTTATTTTTATTAGCGTCCATTATGATCAGTATTAAGTTTACCACAGAAACCAATATATCCATTCAGTGCCTTGTTCTGTCTTAGGCTGCCTCCTTATTCCTTGATTTTTTTGCTTAGATTAGACTGCATGGCTTTTCTATCAATAATAAATTACTCAGCATAAATTTGGGGCCAAAAGCTACTTAGAAATAATTTCTAGGTTAGTAAGATGAACAATCTCATTTCACTGGTGGTGGTACTACTATAATATTCGACGGATACTTTTTGGTTAGCATGGTCCATAGTTATTAACTGATGTAACAAAAATGCTCCTCACGTTGAACATATTTTACCTGAATATATTCTGCTTATGATCTAAGCTGTCAGGAAGCTGAAACACAGAGTCTTCAGTGCCATTGCCTTCCTCGCCTGCCATTCCTAACGTCTGGCACCTGACTTCCTAATACTGTTTTGCCCTAGACTCAAAAAACCTTTTTAAAGGATTCCAACAATACGAAAATTCTGCTCCTATAAACAAATACAAGTGACATGATGTGTATGCAGTTCACACATAGCACCCTATAATGCCATCACACTGAATATTAGGTTAACATCTTAGCTGGTTTGCTTAAGACAAGTTTAAATATTTTGATAACTACAAAAGCAGCAAAATCAAGGTCAGTACTTTAAATTCTTAACATTCATATTTTAAAACAGAGAGGAATACAGTTCAGAAATATTTTTTAAAGGCCTAGACCAAAGAAAGATGTTCAAGATGCTAAACTTAATGAAAAACTATCACAAATAAATCTGACAATGAAAGTACCTCCAAAAATGTTTCCTCTTTATGTTAATGAGTACTATACACAGCAGAGACATAACTTAATGAACACACTACTTTGATCTGGGCTTATGAATTACATATTTAAGCACTTACTGAGACTATTTCAAAGTTATACTCTCATCAGGAAAATGTGAAAAAGATACAGATACATTTTCTGTGATTTTATACCACAAACACTACTGTTTAGTAGATCATTTAATATGAAACAATTAGACTGACATATCTTGTTTCATTTTCCCATTAGATAGAAATACAACTTTAAGGTGGCTTAAAAATAATCATTCAGGTTATTCAGTCATAAAATTAGCAAAATCTGCCTTCTAGTAGTTCCTAAAGCAAACATTTCAAATACAAAAGGGATATTTGCTATATTGCAAGCATATGATCTCATTCTGCATGCAGCTCCATTTCTAGAGTAGGTTAAAAAAACCACCATTTCATGGGCTGAACTATGGGAGATTCTGTATTCAAAGAATTACTTTGCAAGACTGTTATGACAAATGCTTTTTATTACATAATATTTAGTAGTCATGCTCAATTAACAAGGTCAACAGAAACTTGTAAATATTCTGCTAAATTACACATTAATCATACATATTTTTTCAGTGCGATAACATTAAAATAATCCCTGTTTCCTTTATTCATATAATTTTGCAAACTGGGGAATAAATAAAGATACAAACACACAAGAACTTCTTTTCTTAAGCAGGTAAGATTAACAGAGGTTAAAATTTATTGATAAGCGAAAGACTGACCCTGACCCTAGTCACACCAAACTCAAAGTAGCTCTTGGTCAGAAAAGTACAGTAGAGGGTACATGGAAGTGATACCTTGTGGTCTCCTTAGTGGTCTATTTGAGGTGATTTTTTTTTAACTGCTAAAGTGTATTATTAACTCATAATAAAAAGTAACTAGTCAAAATTTAAAACATTCTGATCAAAATGGGTCTGCACATGCCTTTCAAACCCCTGCTGGTCATAGTCAGGAGGGAACTGCTCGCTGCACATTGGGCACACCTTCCAGTGACTTTCAACATGTTCTTCAAATTTGCTCTGATCATAGTTGGGAGGGAACATTAATTCACAGAGGGGACACTTCTTGTGAACATCAAAGCTTGAAGAAATAGGAAAATGAAAGAATTACATATTTCTAATAAACAAAGTTCTAACAACTGTAATCTTCAGGATATGAAAAGATTACATTTATCTAGTTAAGCTGATATTCATACTAAACAACTTACCCTCAAAGTCTTCAGTTACTCCAGAAAGCTTTCTGTTTCTAAATGCTTGCTATTGACAATTGTGTAAACTATTTACAAAGCTTTTAAATTTAGTTTTACAATTAGATTAACAAAGAAAAAAACTTGTTACAACCCCAAAATACAATCATATTATGTGAAATGAGGCTTAGTAACAAGAATTCTTCAATTTTTATTGAACAGAAAATACCTTTTGTAAAACTATAAAGATTAATATAACAATTTCCTAACAGTGTTCATTCAGTTTAACAACTAAGAGTGTTTATCAGCATTGGTTCTTCAAAGGATCGCATGCATCAGAATCACCAGGAGGGCACATTAAAACACACATTGCTGAGCCCCACACCAAGAGTTTCAGGTTTAGAAGGTCTAAGGTAGGGCCCTGATCATAGGCATTTCTAACAAGTTCACAAGGACCATACTTTGAGAACCACTGGTCTATCTCATCCAACTTCTACACAGTAAAGAGAAAAATTACCTGGAATCAAAGCAAAAGCCTGTTCCATGCCCACGTAAATGCTGACTTGGAGGATCAGGAGCAGTGGGCTCAGTCTCATCTTCCTAGGCAAGAAATAATTTTGCAACTTTTGAGAAAAGTGAAACTGTATATAAGTTCCTTGATTAATTCAGTCAAGCATAGTATAAAGAAAATAAGATATACTTTTCAAAATTTTACTTCTATTTAACTAGATTTTAATATAAACATATCTTTGAAATTCTGCCCCCCGCCAAAAGCCCCAGTGCATGGTTGTATACACTAGTTGTAAGTCCTTCTAGTTCTTCTATGTGAGCTGCTACCACAGCGTGGCAAGTGACAGACAGGCGGTGTGGTTCTGCTACTGGGAAACGAACCCAGGCCACCAAAGCAGTGAGAGCACTGAACCACTAGGCCATCAGGGCAGCTCTGTTTGAAAGTAAATTTTTACAGAATAGTTCTCTATGAACTAAGTCTTACCTTCTTGAAATAAAAAGCAGTAGTATTTAGTGGAATGGATAGTATGCCACACTTGTATGTGTGAATGAGATCTGCAGGCTTTTTTGAACCTATATGTAGGCGACTTTATCGTTCCATACAATAGGTGACCACTTTCATAAAAATCTTAAGACTGTATTATTTTTCCTACTACTCTCATTTAATAACTGTTAACTTGCAGGACAGAATGTTCTTTGACAATATACATCCACTGCACAATATACAGAAATTATAAATAAAGAAATGCTAGTAAAATATGTATGAGTTTACACATGTATGTTCTTGGGCACATACACGGGCAAATCCAACTGGAAAACCATGTTAAAACAAAGCAATGCACGAACAAAAATTAGACTACTGGTGGTGAGCATGATGAAGTATATTCAGAAATTGATAAATAATAAGGTACACCCAAAATTACACAATATTATAAACCATTATGATCTCAATAAAATTACTGGGAAAAAAGCCCCAAAGCAACGCACCAAACTACAGGCCTCATAACTCTGTTGTGAAAGAGTAAAATTCAAAGTTAAATATCTAACAGATTGTCAAGGAACACTCCTAAAAATCTGTAAATCTGAGTTTGAATCTGAAAGAAAACATTGGTTTAGATTTCCATGCCCGCATCCCTGTGGTCACTCATTAGAGGTCTGTAAGTGCAACATCAACAGCCAAACATGGACCCTCCCTTCACATCAACAGCAGCCACATCCTCTAGAGTGCCCACCTGCTTTCTTCCTCTGAGCAGCTCTGCTGGCTGCTCTCACATCACAAACTGAAAGCACATAAACAAGTAGAGCAGGCACTGATGAAAGTCCTTAGTTGCCGGGCAGTCATTGCTGTGGAGCTGCTATTAACGGGCTAAATAGTCAAGTCTGTCATGGGAAGAGGTACCAAAGAAGTCTATGTGGTGTGAAATTCGAAGGAACAAACAAGACACAAATTGAGTTATCTTTTCTTTTTGGGGGGTGGGGGATATCTGACTATTATTCTAAGGATTATCCCCTCCTGAAAGGTCAAAGAGGTAGTAGAAGACTTTTTTTTCATATTAATCACATGAGGAAATACTTTTGTTTACCTGTGATTCCCTTACGATATAACTAGGCAAGAGAAGTTAGATAACCTAATGGGGGATTGTGAAATTGGGGAATATAAGACAAGTACTTTATATACTTCAAATCTTCAAGTAACTAAAATCCAGACAGCTTTTAAATGGTAGAAACAAAGGGAAGATGGTACAGTAGTTGAATCTGCTAAGCTTAATATGTATGATGGTAAATCTGGATTCCGTGCCACATCTTTACTCTAGCTGCCAGATTTTAGGCCTTCCAGCAACAGTATTTGAAACACTGAATCTGCTTAAAGAATTACATATAAAATAATAAAATTTTCTCATTTATCTTTGAAAAAAGAAAAAAATCTTTGAAATTTTGAAATGCTATTTAAGAAAATAATGGGAGAAGATAAAGGAAAGGTCATGATATTCTACTTTTCAAAATTCTTGATGACATATTTATAATAAAATACAACTTTCTACCGGCCAAAAATATAATGGAACCAAAAATCTCATAACCTCCTTTCTGTGTTTTATAACAGCTAACAGCTTACACCAATTTACTGCTTCTATGAATCAGCTAACAACAGAACTGGTTGCTAGCTAAGGTGCTAGGCTCAGACCAACCTTTCAGACATGTCAGCCCTGCTTGTAAAATATCTGCAAGGGGAAAAAAAGCAATTTATACTTTTGTTCTTTTTAATTTATACTTTCTAAGCCATATACAACTTGGTAAGGATAACCCTATTATTCTGTATCTTCTACCACCTAATACCTAATAAAAGGGGAAAGGGACTCCAGAGTAGAATTCTAGGCGTTATAATGAGACATAAGTTCTTATGAAACAAGAAATCACCTACTCAGAGAAGAAAACCAGAAA